TAAAATATATGAATATTTTTACATAGATTATTCTCCCACCTACACAGAACTTATTAGGTTAGTTGTACCTCTACCAAAGTTTTCCACTTATAATTCTGAATACTCTTTTTGGGAAGAAATATTAGGAAAGGCATCATCAAATTGTTTTATAGAAGTTCAAACCACTGATTTGTATTCTAATTGGTGTGGTGAAGCTTTAATTACTTTTAAATGGGAATCATTTGGCAAATATTATTATTGTTTTTCTTGGTTCATCTATACTTTTTTTCTTATAATATTCTCTCTTGGTGTTACGGAAACTAAAGGGCTTATTTCGTTAAATAGTCAAAAAATTTGTCTATACTTATCAACTAGTATTGGATGTCTATTATTATTGCTTACAGAAATACGTCAATTCATATGGGATTGGAAATTATATGTAACTAGTCCATGGAATTTATTTGGTAAGATACATAAATTTATTTATTTCAATTTAATACCAAAATTAATTTTTACCATGTTTATAGATATTGGTGCCTTACTTTTTCCGGTTGTGACTTCTATTTATTGGTTATCAAACGGTCCTCCACCTTTATGGGCTCCTGCGCTCTCATGCTTATTTCTTTATTTGAAATTCTTATTCTTTTTACGAGCTTTTGAAACTTATAATGTCGGTTTTTATCTTGCTATCATGGCTGGTGTTGTCAGCAGAGTTTTTACATATTTGTTGATTTTGGGAATTATCATAATTGGATTTGCGCATTCTTTCTATATATTACTTCAATCGACAAGTGAAAGCAGAAACAATACTAATAATGCTAACACGAATTTATACTCTTATTTTGATACTTCACTTTTGGCCATTTACTTATTAATGATTGGCAAGTATTTTGGATTATATATTATTGGTAGTTGTCATCTTGACTAACTTAAAAAATAGTGACCGGCAATTAAAATCAACTGGCCTATCCTATAAATAGAATTTTTAATTAATGATTGACAGTATTTATCTTTGTTTTATAGGTGATAATAGTTCTCTTTCTGCTTGGGACTATCGAGATAATCCTATTTTAGTTGTTTTGATGGTTTCATTTTCTATATTCACTACTCTCTTTATGTTAAATTTATTTATCGGATTATTAAGCAATGCTATTCAGGATCATGATAATAGAGCTGCATTTCTCTTACAAAAAGCAAAGGTAATAAAAAAATTTTGGAGATTCATCTACTATTATTTAATACATTTTGTTTAAATGTTTATAGATCTTGGCAGAAATAGAATTGTTCTATCTTTTTCCACAACAACGAAGATGGAGACACTGGTTTCCGGATAATATGTAAGTTAAACTCAATATTGATAATTAGTAGTTTGTAAATCAACCTTTTTTATCTTACTTTATTTCTTCATAAATTTATAGTTATTATTATGTACCTGCCTATGAAGTTCGTAATAAAATTTTAGATCTGAAATCTAATAATGATTTGGCTGATGATTATAAACCTATTATAAG